TGGGGTGGGTTCTCAGGTATAACTGATGGGCACCTTCAATGTTCAACCAATGAGCTTTGTTTTTGTTTTTTTGTTTTTAGTTTTTTTAATTTCTTTGTATATTTTTACATCATTCCTCGTATTTTTTACAGTGTATTCTTTCTCATCTCAGTTATACTCCCCATGAAATTCCCACCACCAATTCACCCTGTACCATCACCATAGTCCCCTGTGCTCTTCCCACCCTTGTTTTGATTCCCTGCCCCCCACCAGCAGAATGTCTCTGGTTTATGGTTGCTTGTTGATTTTGATTTTCACTTTATTATAATAACTTTTTTTCTCTGATCCCTTGTTTGGATCCTCTACATTCCTCCTATAAGTGAAACCATCTGATATTTTTCTTTTTCTTTCTGCCTTATTTCACTGAGCATGATCCCTTCCAGCTCCATCCATTTTGCTGCGAATGGCATGAGTTTATCTTTTTTGATTACTGAGCAATATTCCATTGTGAATATATACCACATCTTCTTGATCTAGTCATCGTATTTTTGAGCATTTGGGTTGTTTTCATAGCTTACCTATAGTAAATAGTGCTGCTATAAACATAGGGGTGCAGGTGTCCTTTTGAATTAATATTTTTGTGTCCTTTGGTAGATACCTAGGAGTGGAATTGCTGGGTCATATGGAAGCTCCATTTTTAGCAACTTGAGGAACCGCCACACAGCTTTCCATAGTTCAACCAAGGAGCTTTGAGTCCATCATCTAAGGGTACTGGGGCAGAGGGGTACTGATGACATAGCTCAGAACAACCTCCTACTCCTAAAAGTAAAGTTCCCAGGCCCTACCAGAGGCAAAACAGAAAGGGATGAACTCCTGAGCATGGAAGCCACAGTCCACACTCCTTCACTTCGACATGGTCAGTGTCACTCCAGGTGAGCTCCTGCTGCTTCCCTGCATGCAAAACTTCATGGCATCCTGTGAGATTTACTTGATGCAGTAGCTGACCCCACCTGTCAGCAGCTGGCAGGTGTCCTCCAGAATCCGGGTGATACCCATAGACTCAGGCACCACCTTCATCATCTCCTAGGGGGGTACAACAATATTGCTGAGCTTCAGCTTCTCAGCCATTCTTCAGCCCCTCCTCCCCTGCCCAGAAGGATGATGCCCCAGCGTAGAGAAGTGGAGACTCTTTATCCTTCTAGTCCCTTTTGGAATCATCCAATAGGCTACTGATAGATCTTCCTGCTTCTACTTTTGCTCCCTGCATCTATTCCCAACAAAGCATCTTGAGTGATTTGCCGCCAAAGTGCTGCTCACCTGGGCTCGGCTTCACATGGGCCAATATTATCTGCTTTAGATTTTCATGGAAGCTGAGGCTCAGAAAGGCTTGTCCAAGTTATAAAGCAGGCAAATAGTAAAGACAATTGAATTCAGTTTTCCTGATTCCACAGTCCTTGTTCTTTTTGCAATATCACACTTTTTTCTCCATGTTCCTTGTGATTTTAGAAACTTCATGTGACCAAAAAAAAAAAAAAAGAAAGAAAGAAACTTCATGTGACAGACACACTTCCTTGGGTATGAGCAATATCACTTCAAATGTTGTCTTTTTTTTTTTAATTTTTTTTTTTAGAGGCATGTTTTATTTATTTATTTGTTTGTTTGTTTTGTTTATACATGCACTGGGTACAGTCAGAAGCACGGGAGGGTGAGAGAATTCACCAGAGCCAGAGCAGGGAGCAGAGCAGGCAGAAGGACCGAAGTACACTGCTGAGGGGAGCAGCGGGCGGCAGGAGAGGTCTGCGCGCCATGCGGGACCCTCCTCCGGTGGCCGGGGAGCAGCCGGGGATCGAACCAGCGCCGCAGAGGCCGCGGGCAGCTTCGCAACCCAGCGCTCAATCGCTGCGCCACCGGGGAGGCCCTCAAATGTTGTCTTGAGCAAGACTTTTATAACCAAGTTGCTCACCCTTAGGGTAAAAAAAAAAACAAACATTCTGAGGGCCTGCATAATTTATAATGCCTCCATTCTTATGGAAGAAAAGAGACCTGAACCCACTTAATCCCCCAAGACTTTCAGTCAAGGTATCATTAATGCAGAAACTATAGGTTTGTGAGTTTGACATCCATCCCTGCCAGAATAGATTATTGAGAGCTTTGAGTTGATTGCAGATTCGCATAAACCAGTACTCTATAGCCTAAAAAGAGGAGATGAATTTTGACTCCCTTTATTCAAGAATGTGTTGGGCACCTAGGCAGTCATGGCTCCTCTCCTTTGAAATAGATATATAAGAATCAGAATCACTAGCAAAGTAGATTTGCTAGACCTGAAATTGTTGTCCTATGATGATTAAGAAAATGGTGATATTTTGTCTAGGAAGGCAAGACCATAAGGAATATGAAGACTGACTTTCAATACTAGAAGGATACGATGAAAGAGGAATTTGGTTTGCAGGCAAGAACTGTGTGCCGCTACAGAAGTCAGAAGTAGAGGAAGTGGATGTATTTACATGGGGAAGCAGAACTGAGCTCAATCTGAGGAAGTGGAAATGGCAACAGTTTTTCAGGCAGGAACGTGATTTGGAAGTTAGACAAAAATAACTTCAAATCATGAGCTCACCACTTTCTTGCTAAATGCCATCAAATTACACACCTCTGAACCTTTCCTGCAAAATGAAAGTAGTAATTCCCATTTTCCAGTGTTGTTGTCGAGATTAAATAACATTAATCAAAGAATTGGAATTCCTAGCACTGGAGTAAGCACTCAATAATAGTTGCTAATGCATTCATCATTACAACGAATTTTCTCATCGTTAAAGCTACTAAAAACAGAATAGGGGCCTCCCCTGGTGGCGCAGCGGTTGAGCGCTGGGCTGCGAAGCTGCCCGCAGCCTCTACAGCGCCAGTTGGATCCCTGGCCGCAGGCGAGGGTCCCACATGGCACTACAGACCTCTCCTGCCATGCCCGCTGCTCCCCTCAACAGTGTATTTCATCAGTCTGTCTGTTCTGTTCCCCGCTCTGGCTCTGGTGAATTCTCTCACCCTCCCGCACTTCTGACTGTACCCAGTGCTTGTATAAATAAATAAATCTTTTAAAAAAATAAAATAAAGACTCTTCTCAATAAATATCAATGTGCAAAAAATAAAAAATAAAAAACAAAAAAACAGAATAGGACACTTCAGGAGGGAGAAATGGAGTAGTTATTTTTGTGGGGGTTTGTTGGTTGGTTTTTTTTTTTTTTTTTTTTTTTTTTTTGCCTCTTCCAGAACATTTGAGCCAAATGTCACAGGAAGAATGGTCCTCTCCTTTGTGCTCACTCGCCCCTTTAAGCAAACACTGTGATGAGTTGTTGGCCTGTGTTTCTTACATGGCAATTTTCTTGAATCCTGTACAGTGCCTGGCTGTACAGCAAAACTGCTACATAAGTGAGCTAGAGTGTAGTAGACTAAGTAGACTTTAGTCTACTACAGGAGGATATTTAGTCTACTACAGGAGTCTGACTAGGAGGATATTTAAATACTCAAGGTAGGAGAAAAGATGTACTGGGAACCGGGACTAGAGGGTGATACAGAAAAGGATTCTGTCTTATGGGAGGCCAGAAGAGACAGATTAACTAATGACAATAAAGCTGGATGGATGTTATGATGAGAGACTGAATTTCCATATAAATGGGTTTGGGTATAGCAATCTTGCTGAAAACAGGTAAACTAGAAAACTTGTCTCAGAAAAACAAGTATGGTTTTTGCCTGTGTTTCTTTTGGGTAGCTGGGTGAGGGGTGCTCATAAAGTTTAGGGTCTTAAGCACTAAAGTCACTTAGCCAGTGAAAAGGGATATTAAAATAAAAAACAAATGGATACCAGTCTTGGAAATTCCCTGAGCAGATAAAACCAAGTTTAGTCATATAAACAAAGGTGAATTTAGCTTATTTTGTGAGACTAAGTTAACCTGGGTCAATTTTGTTTGTGCCTCTGGAAATTTTTTTTAAGATTTATTTTTATTTACTTATGCATACAAGAATTGGGGTGTAGGCCAGAGGTGGGGGGTGTGTGTGTGAGAGAGAAGATTCACCAGAGACAGAGTGGGGAGCAGAACAAGGCAGAGTGACTGAAATATACTGCTGAGGGGCACAGCAAGCAAGACAGGAGAGGCCTGCTGCACCATGTGGGTCAGTTTCCCGGCCCAGGATCAAACTCATGCTGCGGTGACTGGTGATACCTTGATAGCGTGGAGATTTTAGCCCCTGCACCACCAGGGAGAACCTGCCTCTGGAAATTATACGCAAAACTTAAACTATCCACAAGGTTTATAAAAGGCAATCGCTCAATAATTCTTTCTCATTAAAGAATGTTCCAATATTATAATCAATCACTGTAAAGAATGAAGTCACCGCTTTCTCACGATATAAACTGTTTTCTAATAATATACTCATGAGCCCCACTCCATCTTTTGTTTTGAGTGCTCCCGGTTTGCAAACTCTCTTTGGGGTGTGCACAAGGAATTAATTACAGTGATAATACTTAGATGGTTTTAACTTCAGCTATTTTTGAACCTTTGACCAGGGGAAGTTCAGGAGGCCCTGTTGATACTTAATGGGGGACCTAACCTAGCTTGGGTGTCGGGGAGTCTGGAAGGGGAAGCAATCTCAGTATTGAGGAATAGGAGCTTTCCAGATTTGAGGAGACCCCTATCTCTGATAGGCATTATCAGATTTCATAAAGCTCTGGGTGAGGAACCTGTTAAAATTCTAAATGTTCTAGCATGTGAACTATAGAAGTGTTCAGAAGTGGTTTATTTTTCGGACCAAGCATAAAGGCGCCCGTTTGTAAAAACTGCTTTCGCTCTCCTACATTGCCTTTCTAAACCCCGGCCTTCCCGCATTTGCAGTTTAAAACTAAAACTCCCGGAAACCCTTGCAAACCGTGCGTGACGGCGTGACTCGCGCGCAGCACTTCGGGCCTTGTAGTTCCGTACAGACTCCAAGTCCCATAGTGCTGTGCGGCGGGTCGTCGCGCCTGCGCGGTGCAGGCGGCGGGCCGCGCAGACTGCGAGGCTCTTTTGTTCGGCAGAGGGGAGGGCCGTCGGCCGGGGCCTGCGGTACGCCGCTTCAGCGAGGGGCTCGGACGCGGTCGCCCGGCTTGTTGCTTTTCTGGGCGCCACTCCCCCGGCCGTCCCGACACGACGCGCGAGTCGCGCGGCACCGATTCCCCTCGAGTTCCTGGGCGCTGCTCTGAGGTGAACAGCCCGCCAGAGGCGGGGAACGCGGGGAGGCGCGCGGCGGCGAGAGCGGGAGTCCGGGGTGAGGGGCCGCGCGCCCGCGGCGGGGGCTGGGAGCGGGGAGCGCGCCCTTCCCGCGCTGAGCCCCGGGGAGCGCTCAGGGTTGGCCGCTGGAAGGATGGAGAGGGCGGGGCGGCGTATCCGGAGCGAGGGAGTGGAGCGATTCCGGGTGGGCCGAGCGCTGGCGGGTCGCTCGGCTCGGCCGGGGCGACCCAGCTCGAAGCCGCGGGGGCGGGGGGCGGCGGCGGGAAGGGGCTGCAGGGGGGGCTGGGAAGGGTCCGGCTCGGAGCCTTGGTGCTCGGACTTGCATGGGGAGGGTCGACGACTGTGGGACCCGGGTTTAGAAATGTAACCTGAGAGTATTGGGCGGCCTCTGGGGCTGCCGGAGGAATTCGCTCGCCCTGCTGGGGAGAAGTAACTTCTGGCAGATTGTGCGAGGGAGCCGGGCAGCCCAAGGTGTGCTGCTGGGGCAGGAGAGCTGTTGAATAAATGGGGGAGGACGCTAGGACGGAGGGCATTCTCCTGCCTGGCTGGGCTCTAGAGAGCGAGCAGAGTGGAGTGAAAGCCCGAGATTATGTAAGGCGTGGAGGAGAAAGTGGGAAGCCGACTGCCCGTGCCTCCCGCTGGGCCCTTCCCCGCTGGGGAGGCTGGAAGAATAAACTGAAGGATGGAGCACGCTTTCTTCGCTATTCCAGAGTTTCACTCCCTGATTCTGTTAGGGAGTTAAAAAGTCCAGAAGCAGGCCGGGCTATGATTCAGAATTAGTTCTACAAGTTATAATTTGAGATTGTTAGTGGCCACAGAGGGCAGTGAAATTGTAGAAATGTGTGGATGAGTTAGTATTTAAGGGATGAAGGTAAGTTAGAGAGGTTGTGAGATAATGTGGAGACTGGAAAAGTTTGGGCGCTTATATTTTTATTTTTTTTTAAGATTTATTTATTCATACAAGAGTTGGGATACAGGTCAGAGGCGCTGGAGGGCGAGAGGACTCACCAGGGACAGAGCAGGGAGCAGAACCGGCAGACGGACCGGACCGACAGCACTGCTGAAGGGAGCAGCAGGCGAATCAGAAGAGGTCTGCCGTGCCTTGTGGGTTTCTCCCTGGCCGGCCAGGAATCGAACCTGCGCTGCAGAGGCAGCGGACAGCTTCATAACACTGCGCTCAACCGCTGCGCCACCAGGGAGGCCCTGCTTATATTTTTAAAGACATGTTTTCCTTGTTGGAAATTTCTAAAACAAAGTGTGTCATATTTTATCCCTTTTTTAAAGTTTCAGATGAAGGGCTTTCATGCATTGGTGTTATATTCAGAACTGTATTGGTTCAACTAAGTTCATGTGGAGATGATAAAAAGACCAGTAATATAACCTCTTGCCAGGAGTAAGGTCTCCTCTCAGTTGTATGAAGACTTGTCAGCAGTTTGGAATAGTTGTGAAAGGTTCAAAGTTTTGGTAAAGATGCGTGAATACTGCTGGGAAATTAGTCTGTGTTCTTCCTTGAGTGCTTACATTTTTTATAGAAAGTGGTGTGATTGAAAGGCCACCTGTGTTGGAGCCAGGCACACCTTAATTAAGCTTTAGGGCAATTCAGGATCTTCAGTCATTTCCAGTTTTCCCTGTGGTGTCATTTTTCTTCATTGGCTGCTGTAGCCTGAATTGTTTTTCATTAAAAAATGTAAATAGTGTGTAGTCTGTGTTTCTGGCTTCTTGATTAAAGGAGCCCGTTTAAGGGGTACCCTGGCCTTCTGTGGTTTGTTTCATCTATAGGATATTAATTTTCTACCCATCAAATGAAAAGAAGCAACCATAACATTTTCTGGTACCGGTTTTTAAAAGGATCTTAGAAATGTGGTTTGTTTGTTTTGTTTTGTTTTTAGTGCACACATTTTTTTTTAAAGATTTATTTATTTATGCTATAAGAGCTGGGGTACAGGCCAGAGGTGCGGGGTGGAGGGCTGCGAGAGAGGATTCACCAGAGACAGAGTGGGGAACAGAACAGGTGGATTGACTGAAATACGCTGCTGAGGGGAGCAGCAGGCAAGACCAGAGAGGTCTGCTGCGCCATGTGGGTTATTTCCCCGGCCAGGGGATCGAACTCGTGCTGCAGTGGCTGCGGATAGCTTCATAATGCTGTGACTTAACCCCTTGAGCCACTAGGGAGGCCCAAGTTCACACCATTTAAAAAGAGAATTGGTGTATTGTGTTTTTCTACTATTTTATCCATCAAAATCTCTCCATTCACTATACAGTATCTGGTATAACATTTTGCATTAGACTTGATAGACTTAGGTTGTTTCTTTGCAGAGTTTCTGGAATAAAATGCTAGTGATTAGTTTGTGGGTTTACATAAAATGGGATTATGTTTCTTGTTCATCCAAATGTCTGGTACACATAGTAGGCTCTTCAGATTGTTGTTTGAATGGGTAAGTGCTTTGAGATCCTTAGAATTCCCTGCATTAGTCGGGAGAATGAGTTACTGTGCATTTGTGTAATCAGTTTGTCTTCAATCTGTGACATTTGGCAGAGTAAAACGACATAAGCATGCTTGTCTTTGTCTCAGTTTTTAATGTTTTCACCCTAGTGTTAAATCCAGAAAGGTATGGAGATTGTACTAGTGACTAAATTTTAAGTACCTTCAACAAAGACTCGGAGAAGTCCCAGTTTCTGGGTTTCAAAAGTAAGCTATACTGTTTTAAAAGTATCCTGGGGGCGGGGGGAGTGGGGGGGAGTATCTTGAGGGCCTCCCTGGTGGCACAGGGGTTAAAGACACAGCACTATCAATCTATGGGCAGCCATGCAGCACAAGTCCAATCCCCGATCCCCGGCCATTCCCGGGGCAGCCAGGGAGCTGACCTGCATAGTACCACAGACCTCTCCTGTTTCGTCCCATGCTCCCCTCAGCAGTGTATTTCAGTAGATCTGCTGCCTGCTCCCCAGTCTGGTGATTCCTCTCACCCCCAGCACTTCTGGCTTACACTCCAGTTCTTGCATACATAAATAAATAAATCTATTTTTAAAAAAGTATCTTGAAAAATCCTTTGTGTCCTTTGTATTGTGTTAAATAACTATTTTGCAATAGCAACGTCTATTGAAAAATTCAAGAGGTTAATTTCCAAGGTTAATTAGAGAAGTTACTCAAATAGGGACAGAATTCATATCCTACCAGTATTTGAATTGAGTAATTTGTGTTCACTCTTCCCTGTCTTTAACTTTTGTGATTTTCGGTGCAAAGGGGGAGTGACCTAATTGAAATTGTGCCTTTCTCTTTATTAATAGCTAACACATTAAGGACTTGACAGAACTGTAGTATGTGAGAAGTTAGTGGTTTTGTTTTGTTATCTGTGAGTGCTTTCATCTCTGCTCTTAATTCCAGCTTAGTTATTAGTCGTCTAGTTTTCTAATGATTTTTTAAGTTTTAAAAAAGATTTTATTTATTTATGCATATAAGAACTGGGATGTAGGCCAGAGGTGTGGGGCGTGAGAGGATTTACCAGAGACTGAGTGGGGAGCAGAACAGGCAGACTGCTGAAATACACTGCTGAGGGGAGCATGGGGTAAGACAGGAGAGGTCCACTGAGCCATGTGGGTTAGCTTTCTGCTTGGGGATCGAACTCAGGCCGTCGTGGTGATAGTGCTGAGACTTACCATAGGCTACCATGAAGGCCCCAGGTTTTCTAATGATTTTTATTTCATCCTAAATTAAAAGATTTGCTTCAGGTATTATTGTGTCCTACTAATATTTGCAAACCGAGGTGGTCTCTTAATCCAAAACTTTATCTATAGTCTCATCATGCTGTATGCTGAAAGGTAAGCCAAGTTTCTGGCCATATCCAGATAAAATTTAAATTTCAGTATTCTAGTCCTAGATCCTCTGGAATTCCTTTTAAAATGAACTCCCGCGCATTAGGTGTGTGCACAAGTTCCTGTTTTCTGCTTAGTCAAGTTTTCCATCTGGAAAACATTTGCCTCACAAACAGCCACAGCCAGTGAACAGACTAAAAACAGTTTTAGAAACATAAGTCAGGAGGGCTACAAATTGAATATAATACACACCTCTTCACCTGCTTTTTGATAACTGGTGTGTACTTGCTGATGCACAACAAAGGTACTTCCATGCTTGTTTCCTTTTTTTTTTTTAATATTTATTTATGCATACAAGAACTGGGGTGTAAGCCAGCGGTGCGGCATGTGAGATGATTCACCAGAGAGAATGGGGAGCAAAGCAGGCAGATCTACTGAAATACACTGCTGAGGGGAGCAGTGGGCTAGTCAGGAGAGGTCTGCTGTGCCATGTGGGTTTCTCCCTGCCAGCCAGGGATCGAACTCGTGCTGCAGTGGCTGGTGATAGCTTGCTAGCCCTGTCTTTAACCCCTGTGCCACCAGGGAGGCCACATGCTTGTTTCTATTTAGGGCTTGTAAATCACATTTGTCATGCTGATCATTCCCTAAAAAGCTGACAGCTTTAGATTTTTTTTTTTATGATTTATTTATTTATGCATATAAGGCCAGAGGTGGGGGTGGGGGGTAAAAAATGATTCACCAGAGACAGAGGAGCAGAACAGGTGGATCGACTGAAATACACTGCTGAGGGGTAGCAGCGGGCAAGACCAGAGAGGTCTGCTGTGCCATGTGGGTGAGCTCCCTGGCTGGGGATGGAACTCGTGCTGCAGTGGCTGGCGATAGCTTCATAGTACTGAGACTTACCCCCTTGTGCCACCAGGGAGGCACCAGCTTTGGATTCTTGTTCCCTAAATGTCTGAATCTGATAGAGCCGTCCTTATTGCCCATTTAGGGTTTGACACCTTACCTTCATGGGGCCCAGATATACCTTCAATTAAATAAAAACAAACAAAATGCTTTGGAACCCCAAGGAAAAGAAAATAATATTTGTCTAGTTTGTGTAGACTTCGTAGAAGTAACATTTAAGTGGACTCTTAAAGGGATGGGTAGGATTTTGACTG